AGTCAGCACGCACGAAGCGAAAAAACTAACGCCCACATGGACTCTCTCACGTATGCGATTTATGGAGGAGCGCATTTTATTTATATATATTTTACGACTTTTGTTGCTTTCATATTTTAGTTCTCGCTTCTCCTCTATCAAAAATATTTTCCTAGGAAAGCGAAAGCAAAACTGCAATTACAAGGAAAACTCGGTAAGGACTGTGGGGAAACTGCGCATGGGATCCTTTAAAAGTAAATTTAAGTGTAGAAGAGCGCAGAAGGCTATGCAGAACGTGATTTGGTCCAGCTTACAGTGGAGAAAATGCTTCCCCAATCTGGGTTTTTCTAAAATTACAAATTGCATATCGTTTTACTGCTCTACACATTTGGAAAATTTGTCCATACCATACAAACTATTCGCATCGAAAACCTCAGTGAACACTCAGAAAATGAACATTAAAGCTTAAATTAACGTAGAAAGCTTACGCAGCAGAATAAAGAAGCATTAAGTAAAGTAAATGCTAGAATGAATTAAAGTTTAAAGGGAAATTAGCAATGATATATTCTTCAGTAAAGACAACTAGGTGACTAGTAACTAAAGTTACTGCGAAACAATGGGAGTTACTGCAGAAATCTTAGCCATCTCTGCTACGAAAATCGCTTCGTGTGGACCACTCAAGCATGGCGGTGGAGTTTTCCCACGCCCCGCCGCCCATTTCCCATTTCGCACTGCCCCTCCCCCTCCCAACATTATGCATTCGGTGGCAATTAACGCCCATGATATCGCGCTTCTGCTGCATGTGGCTGGTGGCTGGTGGCATGTGGCATGTGGAGCCATCGGGGTGTTAATGCGCCAAGTCATTCCGTTCGTATTGGCAGCCGCTGGATTTTTATTGTTGCCTACTTTGCAGGGCCGCATTCCCTTGGCATTTAATTTGCTTATTACGAACTTACGCAGACAAAGCGTCCATCGTCGCGCTCGTTGTCGCCATCGTTGCCCCACTTTGGCTCAAGTTTGTTGCAATTTGCAATTTGGGTCGCAGTCTGCCCGCCCGCCTTCCCCAGCCACGCCCCCTCGGCCCGCCGCCACACATTTGTCGCTAATTTGGCGAGGAACTCTTTGGCTTCCTTCCACGCAATGCGCTCCTTTTCCTCCGAAGAGCACCCTCCGCGTAATTGTTTGGCACCAATTGTTTTAAATGCTCGACGAGCGTTCACAAATTGCTTCGCAGACGCCGCAGCCAGTTAACTGCGCTGAGTGCACTTACACTCTGCTGTCAAAAGTTCGACCGGAATCGAGTTATCTCTTCATGAAGGCAGTGGCAGGGTAACAAAAAATACATATTCCAGATACTGGCGGGTTGCTTAAGTTATAAGTTGGCGGTGCAGAACCTTGGTAACTTGAGTCGAAGTCCCTTGCTCTAAATCATTATAAACAAAACGTACATAGGTATGTGATGGGCACCCATTTCACTAAATAAAATAATATATCGAATTCCAAAAGCACTGAATATGTATAAGCCAACCATGTATATACCCTTTCCGTCCATAAAAATGTTTACCAATTCACTGCTTAAGGTTTTATAATCTCTTTTAAGTATGCGGACTATACATTCCTCTGCTACATTCGACACTTTAGTAGCCAATTTAATTTTTTACCGACCACTACCAGGCTGAATAGTGTTAAATGCCATTCACTGCGTGACTGCAAGAAATTGCAAATGTTTTTATTATAAACAAAGAGAGGGAAAGCGTGTGTGGGCTGCTTGCTGGAACCTTCCCGCTTTCAAGTCGAAATCGATGCGCATCAATATTCAATATGTTGCCTTTACTGGCGCCACGCCCACAAGGGCAGGGCGGTGCGGAGCCGCAAGAAGCACCAAACGCAATCATGCCGCGCAGCCAACGCCATCTGATGTTTGCTTTACGTAATGGAATTGTGCGGTGAATGCCGCGTGCCACATTTTCTCCTTGCCTTGCCCTCGCTTTCCCTTTTCCCCTTTCCCCTTTCCCCTTTTCCCTTTTTGGCCTTTGTGACTTTTGGGTCTGTGAATTTTCCTTGGCTCGCCATATGTCGAATCCACCCGTCGAAGTCCTTTCAATCGCTTTCCACCGACGCCTGTCAACATTCCCTGGCTGTTTACACTCGACTTTAATTAAATAAAAATATGCATATGAGTTGGCAGCAGTTAATCGAAAACGCCCAGCTCTAAGCTGATTATAATTAATATCTGTTTGGGGCGAATACGCCATGTAGATAATAACATGGGCAAATGTTTCTAATTCCAACCGACTAGTCATTTGCCTGAGGACTTGATTAACAGCAGAAATTCGTAATTAATCGAGCTTGCTAATGACAAATTGAAAGCCCAACGAGTTCGAATCGATTGGGCTCGTGTTGTGCAGTTTTTATTATAGACACGGAGCACGGGGCACGGGGCACGGGCTGCGCATTGCGCATACGCCGTGTTGTGCAACAAAGCAGACACGTGCTCGTATTAGCAGCCAGCTAAGTGCTGTTATTCTACAGTTTTACACCACAATTACCAGTTCCCACACACTGGCAACGTGTCAAAATCGACACCGGCACAAGCTGCCCCACGAACACCACCAAGCCACCAACCAAGCCCACCTCCTGACACATCCCTTCCCGGGATTACACCGTCCTACGTGTGCTGGGATGCCCGCGTACGTGTCGAATTCCAAATAGCAACGCCAGTCATAACTGTAAGACAATGTCTGCGTGTGATGTGATGACGGGTACGTTGTCACGCAGCGGATGGGATTCCGGAAGGGAACTTGGACGGGGGAGGACGTGAGGCGATGCAAAGCAGCGCTAGTTAGTATGTCATGTGCATGTTGGCATACTTCGCTCGGGACTTACCTGCAAGCTGCCTACGCACCTCCTTGGCCTCCTTTTAGCACTACTGCATACCCTGCCTAAGGGTATTCTGGATTCCAATCCATATTACTCAAAGAAAAGGGTTTATATAGAGATCTTTCGTTACATAGTAATAAGGTACCTAAATATAGGTGAAATTAAAACTCAAATGTTAGGGTAATGCATTCGGTGAAGGACTAACCAGAACAACACGGAATATAAATGGTCACAGGAAAGGTTCTGTATAATGAGATTGTCGTGAGTTGCGCTTATTGCTCTTCACTTCACTCCATTTTTTGTCGTGACCTTTTAAAGAACTTGTCTAGCAAGGAAATCATATCAGAGTAACATTCCGGCAACCTCCCCTCTTCTTTAACATCCCTAATTTTTCTTCGGCGAGTATTTTCTCGTGTTTTCCAGAAGAGCTACAGCATGTTCTGCCAAGGATTCTTTGCTGATGTTGTTGTCGTTCTAGGCTGGCCTTGGCAAAAGCAACAAAGGATTTCGACAGCAAGAAAGCCCACTTAAGAAAACCAAATTGGGTTTAAAGCAGCAGAGAAAAAAAGTCGAGCTTCTCTACTATCAGATACCCGTTAATAGGCTAAAGGGAGTGCCAGGGAGATAGTAATATGAAACAAGGATAACTACTGCTTTCGGGACTGCACCTATGCCTTTTGGTGATTCGATAGTAGTTTCTTAAAGAAAACTTGCACAAATATTCTACCTCTAATAGTTTCCGAGATCTCTACTTTTATACAAGCAAATCGACGGGAAGACCGACTGGCGCACTTCACATACCTATTGACAAATCACCTGTGCTTATTGCTACAAGCGAAGGGTATTTTTATAAATATAATATATATAATTATATAATTTTTTAATATATATAATTTTATAATTATAAAAAAGGTACCTAGGAGATAGTTCAAATACTTTTGCCACTACCAAAAGAGTTTCCCTACACAAGTAGATAATACTAATAAAATGTAAGGCCCGAGGTACGTTTATAAAAAATGTTTTACACTAAGATTGAATAAAAATGTTCGCCGTGCCATGATCTTAGTGCGAATAATCGACGTCAGCTGGTGGCACATGTGTCAAATGCATACAGGAATCCATATAGAGTCATAATGTTGATGTCAATTATATTTCCGCCAACAGTCAACTTGGTTTGTGGGCAGTAACACACCAACAAAATGTGGGTTTGTTTCAGGTAAGGACATAAGCAAAAACTTTATGTTTGTTTACATTTGTTACAAAAAAAAGTCTATCAAAAGACTGATTGTGGTGAACTTAATAATTAAAATCAAAATTAAATTTAACGAACATATAGGCACATTTGATGTGTTTATTAAATGAAACTGTTTAAATTTAAATATGTAAAATGTACTTTTCGTCTGAAATGTTTCGAGTGGATAATCAAAATCGACCCAGCAGCAAACCCAAACCCATGAACCCCATTCGAGTACGTCAAACCTTTGACACATTTTCATATGCGAGGCGGGATGACTTGAGGTGCGGTTGATGTGGGATGCAAAACTCCCGATGCAGATTGGATCCCCTTTGGCATAATGAACACCGCCTCCCTTCGAACTGGAACTGGAGCTGGAGCTGCCAGGGTCCGGAAAATGGAGGGCGGAAGTACGGATACAGTCGGTGCGAGTGCCATCAGCATTGAGAGTACTGCATGTTAATTGCCAAAAATAAAGTAAAGCAGGAGCGACAACAATTCCGGAATGAATGGGTTTTTTCTTTCACTTTGGGGCAAAAGTATTTTAATTGCTTTGGCAGGAGCGATGGAATGGCAAATCATATAAGTAAAGAGGAATGTTCTGAATGGAGCTTATAATCACCAACAACGAAGCGAAGTGAACGAGCAACTTTTTTCACCGTGAATAATTGAATAAAAACATTAACGATTGCCCGTTTAGATTGTCCATGAAGTGTATGCGAAGTCAACTTTTTGAAGACCAATTAAAATCCGCCACGGACTATTCGGACCATTAACAATGCGCGGCTTAGCCATCTATAACTAAAACAAGAAGTTAGTTACACTTTCTCTTTGGAAAGTGTGTGCCAACTCTATTCCTTCCTCTGTAGAGTTGCCATCATAAACGTCATGTTTCTCACAAATTTCTTTTGGCACCAAGCTATGTGAAATTCATAAATGTAAATTTACAAATGCTATTGGAAACCAGATCGACTCTCCCTCAACTGTTCTAGCACACCGGAGACGGCAGCCATGTCGAAGGAAGACTCGGGCGCATCCAGTGCGGAGGCGAATCCAGCTGAATCGGAGATTTCGATGGGTCGAGGACCCCGCCCAAGGTCCTTTAGCGGCGGTGGAGGCGGTGGCGGATCAGGTGGAAGTGGTGGAAGCGGTGGAAGCGGTGGAGGCGGTGGAAGTGGTGGAAGTGGTGGTCCCTCCGGCGACAGCAATCTCAGGCCCGTAAAAAGCCCGCGGGAAGATGACGCCATCGACCGAGCGACGGATTCGAATTCGGCGCCCCGAAAAGTGATGAGCGATCCGCGCTTCCGGATCCGTCCGCTGCAACAGGTGATCTCGGCCTGCACCGGGGCCATGATCACGGCCTGCTTCATGACGCCCCTGGACGTAATTAAGACCCGCATGCAGTCGCAGCAGTCGCCGGCCCACAAGTGCTTCTTCTACTCGAACGGGCTGATGGACCACCTCTTCGCCAGTGGACCCAATGGCCCCGAGTTGGCCAGCATGAGGCCAAGACCACAGTTTTCCAGCTCTTGGGATGCTCTGATGAAGATCAGCCGGCACGAAGGATTGGCCGCTCTGTGGTCCGGCCTGGGTCCCACCCTCGTCTCCGCCCTGCCCTCCACCATAATCTACTTCGTGGCTTATGAGCAGTTCAAGGCCAGATACCTCCAGATGTACGAGCGCCACTATGGTAATAGGCCGGAGCCCCGTCAGCTTGAAAACAGGTACGTTATACATACTCATCCCGATATACAGCTTTTAATTAAAAGTACTATTTATACCAGTATTTTACTCTATGAATCGCTTTTTAAACACTTTTCCGAAGCAAAAATGTACATATAAAAGGCTAGCAAAAGCGCAGTAATAACCATTTAGTTTCAATAAATTTTAAAATCGTTTTAGCTCTAGATAACAAATAAACTGCAGATATAAGCAATTGAAAGAGAATAATCCGAAGCCGGCTGTTATTGTGTTCACACAGAACTGGCAATACTATATTTAAAATATTTATTTAAAATGGAAAGCCGTTAAATTAAGGTTTATCAACACACATATTTGAGACAGCTAAAAAGTGTGTGCTGCATTAAAAGCATTAAATACTCTGACGTACGGCTTATCTAACTCCTACGGAAATCTAAAAGCGTCATATAAACTTATATAGAAATATAAACTAAGGATAACTGATTTTAAAGGATTTAAACTTGTACCTACCTCTAGGGACACCAAGAGAAGTCTACCGTCGGTGGTTCCCATGATGTCCGGGGTGACTGCTCGGATTTGTGCAGTTACGGTGGTGAGTCCCATCGAGCTGGTGAGAACCAAGATGCAAGCCCAGCGGCAGACCTACGCCCAGATGCTGCAGTTCGTCCGGAGCGTGGTGGCCCTGCAGGGCGTTTGGGGCTTGTGGCGGGGACTGCGGCCCACGATCCTCAGGGACGTTCCCTTCTCGGGGATTTACTGGCCCATCTACGAGAGCCTGAAGCAGAGTCTGGGCCATGGCTCACAGCCCTCGTTCAGTCTGAGTTTCTTGGCAGGTGTGCTGGCGGGAACAGTGGCCGCTATCGTGACCACTCCTTTCGACGTGGTCAAGACGCACGAGCAGATTGAGTTTGGAGAAAGGGTCATCTTCACGGACTCGCCGGCGAGGGACTTCGGAAAGAAGTCGACCTTCAGCAGACTGACAGGCATTTACAGGATGCACGGCGTGAGGGGACTCTTCGCAGGATGCGGACCCAGGCTCCTGAAGGTGGCACCTGCCTGCGCCATAATGATCTCCACCTTCGAGTACAGCAAGTCCTTCTTCTTCCATTACAACGTGAGGCATCATAACGAGGCCCTACTCCTGGACAACCCGAAAGCCACGACAGTCAAGGATGATGCCATTGAGTAGGGAGTGGGGTGGCTCCTTTGTAAATAAAGAGCGCATATTTTATGTAAACCCTGGGTGGCGACACGACTCAATATTCCCGACTCAAAACCCCTGCGCAACGCTTTTCGAGTTACGTGTTACGTCAATAAGGCGAAGCCGGAAAATCAATTTCCATTTTCGCAGCTTTAAGTCTCCGGCTGCCTGTTGCTCGGTGCTGCTGCTCGGCGGATACCGGGAAACCCACTCCCCAAGTTGACATTTAATGGAATATTCATTCATTTACATTAACTGCAATTAAAGCGAGTGCAAAGGCGAATTAAACGGAAATGCCAAAGAGCTGGAAGACAGGTAAACTGACTTCAGAGCTGCAACGGAGCGGGGAAAAATGCGCTAGCTTTTCTCGCACATGTTGGTTCGGCATTTTCCGGCAACAGTAATCGAATTTCTTTTGCCGGCCAGTCACGTTTTGCCAGAGTTTCGACCACTGCACATGCCATTTGCGACCAAGGCTCCGTGGACCGAAAGTATTTCAGTGATAGAGTGCAGAAAATCCATAAATCACAGTCGAAAATATCAAAAACTTTAGCGAGTAATTAAGAAGCCTGCGTTTTCCCCGCGGGCCTCAGTCTAAACTCAATTTCACTAGGCCAGAAGAGTGTGTTTTTCTTTATTTCTTTTACCCACAGCCATTTTGCTCGAATGATTCGCCTATTACAAAAAAATTGCCCAAGCGGAAACTTCTTTTTTTACGTGTCCTTTGTTTTTATTAAGGACCACACAAAGTACACAAAGCATTCGCAAGCACAAACTACGGAAGCAGACTGTCAAAAAAACAGGGAAATATATATTTTTCCGTTCTTTCTGGATGAAATATAATGGATGAATTTCCTTGTGGAGGTGTGTTTAGGGTCACAGCCAGTGAAACGTGATATTTTTTGTTTGTTCTTTTATGTTACCTTACATAAAATCATATCGCTGCAAGTGTCAAAGTGTGGCGGGTACAATTACTGGTATTTTTCACAGCCATCGCGGTATTTGCGGCAGTTCAATTAATTGTACAGTCTTTCTGCTCTCAAAACCGCTGATGAAATAATTGGAAAAGCGCGCAGAATTTATCACACTCTCGGAAAAAATGTGAATAGTACATTTTTTCCTACCTTTCATTAATCTGTTAGGCAAAAGTGCGCCAATAAAGCCAGTATTTAAATAAAAGAAAATTGACTGCGGCTTGTCGACCCGAACTCCCCCTTTCCTTATTTTCCTTTTCTGCAAAATCACATTATTGAAAATACTTAACGACCTCAGCCTCCCGAGGGACTCACGCAGTGCTTAATATTACATATATTCCCCCTTTTCATGCTGGTATTCTTGCTGCTCGACGAAAATTGCCAATAAAGCGAATTAAAATATGCTTTCATAAATACGAGTATATAATGGAAATTAAATTTAAGTGAATATCTCATTTGTGTGGTCCGCGTACATATTGTATGTGTGTGTGGTGGGCGGCGCATTTTTTGCTCAACCACAATCAAGGACCTCTGGCTACACTGCACTCTTTTCTCGTCCTTTGTCTTCCAGCTACTTTGGTGCATTGTTGTTGCCAAGGGCGGGCGGCAGTGTTGGTTGCGGGGGCGTGGCTCTTGTCTATATATTTTCCGCAGGCTGTTGCTCGCCAGTGTTTTTTGTTGTCAGCATCAAAAATATTTTCCGTGCCGCAAAGAAAAACAACAACTAAAACCAGAAGAGGAAAAAATTGGGCGGCAGGCAGGAAAAAGCTGTTGATAGAGAACAGATCCGTCCGCCCGGGTGTCCTTCAGCTGTCCCAGGGCCATCCTTCAACATCTGCCTGCTGTGTGTTGTCAGCCCGAGAGTCCCATTTTTTTTCCTCGCCGTATTGTATTTGCATTTAATTGTGGCATTAAAAATACACCGGAACACAGCCCGTCCTGGTCGGATCCTTATTTATGGCCCAGTCCGTCTCCGTCGGCAGTCTATCTCATTTCTGACTCTGAACCTGGTCCTGGTTCTGGTTCTGGATCTGGTATGTTTTTGCCCGCTCACCATTGACATTGAGTGGGCGTGGTCGTGTGAATGGATTCGATTTATTTGCCCCATCCCCACAAACAGCAACTGGAGGCCATGAAAATGATTTAAGATTGGATTATTGGGTGACAAAGTGTGAAGATATTAAATCAGCGACAGAGTAATTAAATTAAATTATATAGTCTGACATTCGGCCAAGTTCAAGTTTAAGTTTTCAAGCAAAGTGCTTCTTAAAATCTCCTCAAAATAAACATTAACAAATAGTAAAGGGGTGAATTTGTATATTTCTTTCACACCTGAGACACACAAATCTGTGGTTTTCTGACATTTGCTGCTGGACGTGAGCATCTTTTTAAGTTCTTCCATACCATATGGGTTTGATGGGTTTATTGAAATTATCAGCCCAGTTCCCAACTAGTTTAAAAGCTGCAATAACTATGTGTTCCGACAGCAAGTTAAACATTCTTCAGGCTTTATTTAAGACAATTTTTACTACTCACTTTAAAGACCTCACTATCTCACTCTCTAATATAATTATGACAAAATAATAGAGTAGTTATTTAATTGCTTACAGCGCGAGATTAATCTAATAGCACTTTGTAATCGAATAAACCTAAAAAAATATATCTCCTTCAGTGTAGGGTAATCAATTTCTTAACAAGAATTTTAAATTGTATTTTAAATACTTTTTATGAATAAATATTTTAAAATAAATATTATGACATTTCAAACACTTGTATGAATAACATTTGCCTGGTTAATAGTTCAAGAGGGATGCCAATGTGATCTTGCAAGTAATCACACTTAAGAACACATACATACACTACAATCACTGCTAGACCGGTAAGAAAGATTACTTGGAATATTTTGTGACTCTAAATTAGAAGAAATGCCTTACAGTCTTCACTAGAACTAGTTGGGAATTATAGGGCTATAGGACACGAAAAATCTACAATTTGCTATAAATATTTACACTTTGTGGGCAAAATTGAAAGATTTTTCGGTTTGAATTACCAGGCGAACAGGAATTCCAGAAGGTGACCAACGATCGTTTGGTTTTCGGTAGCAACTTGCTGCTGTTTATGATCGCCTGGTAATTCAATCCGAAAAATCTAAAATTTGCCAAAAAAATTAACATTGTGCAGGCAAAATTGGAGATTTTTCGGTTTACATTATTAGGCGATCATAATATCAAACACTTGTATAAATAACACTTGCCTGGTTATTTGTTCAAGAGGGATGCCAATGTGATCTTGCAAGTAATCACACTTAAGAACACATACATACACTACAATCACTGCTAAACCGTTAAGAAAGATTACTTGGAATATTTTGTGACTCTAAATTAGAAGACATGCCTTACAGTCCTCACTAGAACTAGTTGGGAATTATAGGGCTATAGGACACGAAAAACTACAATTTGCCATACATATTTACACTTTGTGGGCAAAATTGAAAGATTTTTCGGTTTGAATTACCAGGCAAACAGGAATTCCAGAAGGTGACCAACGATCGTTTGGTTTTCGGTAGCAACTTGCTGCTGTTTATGATCGCCTGGTAATTCAATCCGAAAAATCTACAATTTGCTAAAGAAATTAACATTTTGCAGGCAAAATTGTGAGATTTTTCGGTTTAAATTATTAGGCGATCATAATTTCAAACACTTGTATAAATAACACTTACCTGGTTATTTGTTCAAGAGGGATGCCAATGTGATCTTGCAAGTAATCAGGAACGCATACACTACTACACATACACTACATTCACTGCTCGACCGGTAAGAAAGATGACTTGGAATATTTTGTGACTCTAAATTAGAAGACATGCCTTACAGTCCTCACGAGAACCAGTTGGGAATTATAGGGCTATGGACACGAAAAATCTACAATTTGCAAAAAAAATATTTACACTTTGTGGGCAAAATTGAAAGATTTTTCGGTTTGAATTACCAGGCGCACAGGAATTCCAGAAGGTGACCAACGATCGTTTGGTTTTCGGTAGCAACCTGATGCTGATTATGACCAAACACACATATGTACATACATACATACATACATACATACATACATACATACATACATACATACATACATACATATATACATACATATATACATACATACATGCCCACAAAATGTAAATATTTATGGTAAATTGTAGATTTTTCGATTTGAAGTACCAGGCGAACAGGAATTCCAGAAGGTGACCAACGATCGTTTGGTTTTCGGTAGGAACTTGCTGCTGATTATGATCGCCTGGTAATTCAATCCGAAAACTCTACAATTTGCCATAAATATTTACATTTTGTGGGCATGTATGTATGTATGTATGTATGTATGTATGTATGTATGTATGTATGTATGTATGTATGTATGTATGTATGTATGTATGTATGTATGTATGTATGTATGTATGTATGTATGTATGTATGTATGTATGTATGTATGTATGTATGTATGTATGTATGTATGTATGTATGTATGTATGTATGTTGTTGTGCATGTGTATGTATTTTGCCTCTAAAATGTTAATTTTTTTTGGCAAATTGAAAGATTTTTCGGGTTGAATTACCAGGATTTTCGGGATTGAATAACCAGGCGATCATAATCAGCAGCAAGTTGCTACCGAAAACCAAACGATCGTTGGTCACCTTCTGGAATTCCTGTTCGCCTGGTAATTTAAACCGAAAAATCTCACAAATTTGCCTGCAAAATGTTAATTTTTTTTGGCAAATTGTAGCTTTTTCGGATTGAATAACCAGGCGATCATAATCAGCAGCAAGTTGCTACCGAAAACCAAACGATCGTTGGTCACCTTCTGGAATTCCTGTTCGCCTGGTACTTCAAATCGAAAAATCTACAATTTACCATAAATATTTACATTTTGTGGGCATGTATATATGTATGTATGTATGTATGTATGTATGTATGTATGTATGTATGTATGTATGTATGTATGTATGTATGTATGTATGTATGTATGTATGTATGTATGTATGTATGTATGTATGTATGTATGTATGTATGTATGTATGTATGTATGTATGTATGTATGTATGTATGTATGTATGTATGTATGTATGTATGTATGTATGTATGTACTTATGTATGTTGTGTAATCTCACAATTTTGCCTACAAAATGTAAATATTTATGGCAAATTGTAGATTTTACGGATTGAATTACCAGGCGATCATAGTCAGCAGCAAGTTGCTACCGAAAACCAAACGATCGTTGGTCACCTTCTGCAATTCCTGTTCGCCTGGTAATTCAACCCGAAAAATCTTTCAATTTGCCAAAAAAAATTAACATTTTAGAGGCAAAATACATACAC